AAACATTTTCCAGAATGTCAAAACTGTATTTCGTTGAACTGGTAGCATGTTCAAAAATAGATGTAAGTGAATGCAAATAATAAATTAGAAGTGCAGAAATATATTTTACGATATATCTCAATTATACAAAAATAACAAATTTCATAACTCGTTGAACATACGTGCTGTTGAACGCATCAAACAAAGCGTCTGACTATTACTGAATTCTTCTACTTGTAGCAAATGTTCTGGCATTATCGCTACGCTCTCCGGTGGCACTGCGTTGGTGTCGTATATACGGTGAAGAAATCATATTCTGCATAAAGGAAACAATACAAATAAATTTATTGTAGCGGAAAACATACACTTATTTACATATACCATTGAAATTTCATTACCAGGTGACTGGATCAAGAGATATTGAGATTTTTTTAGTTTTATCGAAATATATTAACACTACAACTACCGAGCACTGAAATTGACTTTTTGAAATTTCTCTATAGATGCTTCAATAATGTATGCAATACTTTAATTGATCCATAATTCAGATTAAGTATTTCCAAATCAATTTCTTTAATAGCTTTCCAGAGAAGCATCTGCTATGTTTTTAACAATCGCAAAAAGGAGAAATCAGGAATGGGCCATTTTGACCCGTTCGGTGGTTCCAGGATTAAGATTATTGAATATTTATTGAAACAAGTTGCATTCGTGGTATATAGATGCAATAAAATTTAAAATATATTGAACAATGTGCAAACAAATTATGAAACATTTATTGTATCTAAGTATGCATAACGGTCGAATACTTCTCTTACTGACAGTGGGAAGTATATTTGTCGTACGTGCTTACGACGTCAAAGTGTTATCAGAGTTGAATCTAAATCAAAATCTCAAATAACACAGTTTGCCTGCACGCATTTATAATGCTAAAAGAACTGTAATTCTCAACTTTATTTCTCCTAAAATGTTTCATTATCAGTCTATATGTCTATAAAATGAATCAAATGTACAAAATCAAGTGCTGTCGATATGTTAAAAATAAATCCATAAAAAACTTGTAAAATTAACATTTCTAAAATCGATCATTCCATATTGAATACAAGTAAAATGTATGTCTAATAAATCATTATAATAAAAAAAAACTGATTGATACATTTTGCTAAATTTATGGACACAATAGCATAGATTGTTTTAACCCAATTATTTTAATTAGATATGAAAAAGGGAGAAGCATTGTTCAATATAAAAGCAACGTTGCTACATCATTACCGCGAAATATACAATATGTCGCGTGTCGAAAATTATTCGATGTCAACGGTCTCAGAGAAAAGGAAAAAAAATGTGGAATATTTCATGGAATATATTGGCCTCGACTGTCGATAGTCTGCACGATCGAACCGTATTAACATCAAATTTTTGCGCGATTATGCGTTATTTACAAAGCACGGCGACACCGTAATATCTCGAATTTATTGCAATTTCCCCAGTAGCACTTGAAAGCAGGTAGAAATGTTACCCACATCGGCCCAAAGCTGCTGCATACACGTACAGAAGGGATAGTTCCTTGACCGCGTGTCGTGTTACACGCGGTACCGTAATTTTTACGTGGCCATGATAAACGGCCGCTGGCTGCTTCTCATTTTACGCCAAACGAGGACCGGGCACATTGCATATATCGATTGTTTTATTCAACAGAAGAATTTTTTAATTTTCAAGTTTTTTTGTCATTTGGATTGTAGCATTTCATTTTTAATTTTAAGTTTTTTTGTCATTTGGATTGTAACATTTTATTTTTAATTTTTGTACTTCTGCTTTTTCATTAAAATGTTAAAAATTGAACTACATGAAATAATATTATTTTGGAAATGCATATAAAAATATTATTCTTGTATTCGGAAAGTGGTTTTCCATTTTTATTTTCTTTTCGTTTCTACTGGCCTCTGTTCATTTTATGCTAAACGAGAACCGGGCACATTGTATTTATTAATCATTGTAATCGAAAAATTTGTAAAGAACATTTTTTTTTAGTTTTTAGTTTTCAATTTTTTATTTCTAACTTTTAATCAAAATTTAAAGAATTAAGCTACAATGAATAACATTGTTGTTATATTCAGAACGTGATTTTTCATTTTCATTCTTATTTTTGAGCTTCCACTAGCACCTGCTCATTTTATGCGAAACGAAGACCGGACACATTATGCTCATCGATTTTACTTCTGGACGAAATATGTTTAATGCACCTTAACGCACGTTTCTCATTTTAAGAATTCCAATATTAATAAAATGTTAAAAGTTTCTATTTTAATCGAACACTTTAACCCTTGCAGAATTCACTTATAGATACGGATTCAACATCTGGTATATTTGTATTTTTTAGAACTTTCTAAATAAAATCAATATAATCTTTTCACAAATATTGCAATGCAAATATAACTCATGATGCTTTGCATTGAAAATGAGGCTTAAATTATGAAATATAAAAGAAAGCTATACGATTTGAGGAACAGATTCCATTATTTACAGTTTACGTAAACACCATATTTTTGACAATTTCCAAATCATAGTTAAAGAATATTTTTAAATTTATACTATATTACATCTAACATTAAAACAACTTGAACAATACACTGGTACTACTGTTCCTCAATCCTGATTTCTTTTATATGTAATTGTTGAAAATATTTTATAGGTAATATTTGCAATTCGTTTCATCATATCTTAGAAACCAACAACAAAGTTTTATGCGTTCTAAACATGTATTTTCGAATAATTATTTGATAATCGTATTCAATAATATCCCTGACTTATGAAATGAAATTTTGTTTTGCTAATCGCCAGAACAATTAAACGCAATCAGTTGTTTCATGGAAATAAACCATACGTTTACACACTTTGGAAACGATGAAATTGGAAACCATTCGCGAAACACTAGCACACGCCAGTAGATACAACACTTGAGATATATCTGCTTGGGAGCATATTCTCGTCAAACAAAGCCACAGTAATCACCAGAATTCAATTGTCGCGAAATTATTCTATGTGACCCACGTTAATTTTCATGAAATTCGTGTTGTCGCGTCTTCAAGAGGTAAATCCGAACCAATCAACATATAATATATTAATTATCGTCCTGATGGTTCCTGCTGCAAATTTGCAGAGTTTAATATATAATTTGGAAGCTTTTCGTATATTTAATCTTGTCTACTAAATGAGTCTGTTTGTTATACACCGTTTAATACCCACCCATGAGTGAACATTTCGCTAATGCTTTCTAAAACCAGAATAATAGCATTCTTAATGTTCGAGATAATTCATAATGTTGAAATAATATGCTGTTTATGTGCTGCATTTTCGGACATCATAGGCTCGCTTGTACACAAATGTTTCCTTCATTTAATAACGTTTTTTAACCACATTTCAATGGTAGTTTGATAGGTATTAAATGATAGTCGTAAATACGCGTGTGTTGTCTTTCATTATTTTTATATTATGTTTATAATAACGTTAAAATTGTAACAAGTAAACGCAACAAGAACTATTTTATGATTAATTACTTTTATTCCTTTTGTAAAAATAGTATACTTTTCATAATAACGTGAACTACTTTCAGTTTAGATTTGCATTTTAAAAATAAATATAAAATTGTTATGCATATATTAATAAAACATGAAAACATATGGCTAAATTGTTTTGAACGCTATATTTAAATTACACTGTTCGTATTTTAAAAAATGAGTGAGAACCTATCTTTGCTTACAAGCACGATTTTCGATAAAGTGAAAGGCTTTCTTTTAGCATATTCACGGTGAAAGTTTCTTACAGTTTAAATCTAATTCACGTAACAAACTAATGAAAGCACCTAATCCACTATCACCAAAGCAATCGTCAACAGTTGAAACTCGCGGACATATAATGCATAAAACACTCTCCACGTATTCCGCACGAACCGAAAAACCTAGGTAAACTTTAAAATCGCAGCAGGTTGACAGTGAAGCATACAAAAGAACAAGCTTCACTCAAGAGACACAAAACCGAAGTGTACAAATGTTTTCAGAATCCTGCTAAACTTGACAAGAAAACAAACACAAAGAGAACTATGCAAGAGAGACGGGACTAAAACCCACGAACAAAGAAAGTACTCCCGAAACTGTGTATTTAAATAACAAAGATTGAACATGCGCGTGTGCATCATTTCGGGATCGGAGGTACGGCGAGGAAGTCCAGTAGCTTTGATTTCGAAGCCACAGCACGCTACTGCCAATTATTCAACGTACACATTGTTCCATTGTGAATCAGTCGAGAGATGGTGGTCGATTACTGCATCCGAAGTGGAGCCGTTATGTCAATTTGCATAATACATCGATTAAATAAACGGGTTGCGGTCCGGTCCGATGTCGTAGAGCACGGGGAACCTGGGTCGCGCTACCCGCGAAACAACTATTGACAGCCGAATTCTCCATACCATTTGCGCGTACCGTTAAACCTGGATCGCGGCCGATATTAACGCGCCCTTCTCTCTTTTTCTTGCCCGGTACCTGCCACCCTTACACCAACATCCCCCGGTAGCTTCATTACGAGCCATAAATGGTTCATAACGATTATGAGCCTGTCGGCAACGTCTTTATGAATGAGTGACATTGCAACGAGTTGTATTTCCTCATTAATTGGTGGCATAATTACGGCGTCCGCGGTGAGCGAGCGTTAAACGCAACGTTTTGACAGGCCGTGTTACCCTGCCGCGGTGCCTCGAATTGAATAGGATTTCCAGAACGGATTGGCCATGGGAACGCGAGCAATTACCGGAGATAAAACGGAACACGGTACACCGCGGACGTTTATTTCGGATTAGCCTCGTACGCCAGAAACCCGAACTCGAAATAACGAACAACGAAAACTCGTCCGCTTCAAGATGTTCACTTAGGAACCCCTTTCCAGGACTTCTTAACGGTGAAACAGCTCTTGTGCCATGATTAAACGGCCGAGCACGGCCGAACGGAAAATCAGAAGTTTCTATCACTTACTTGGTGCGTCGACATTGTCGAGGAAAATTTCCGCCGCGACAAATCTAACCATCATCATGTTCATCAGCAGAAGCATCCCCTTCATTCTGCGATTGTGCGTGGCCGAACAGGCGAATCCTTCTAAGCGTCCTGGCTCCTCTTCCCGGTTCAAATATCGTCTTTCTTAACCGCCGGATGGCGAGTAGCTCGAGACAGCTGATAAGTTTCAATGAATCCAGTCCTTAGCCACCTACTAACTCCGTTTTCGGTAGCAATCCTCTATACTTCTTGGAGTGTGCTAGGCTTCCGACGGTGTCGCCGCACGAACTTCACAGCACACTCGCTTTTTCACAATTTCACAGCACAGGTTCTGTAACCTTCGCCGAACAACTCGTCTATAATTAGATGTTCCCCGGGAAATCGTTGTTTTACTTTTCAAACTATCGTTCAGCGTTTAGATACGCGGTACGGTAACCGTGAACCAAAGTAATCGGACACCAGAGTTCATTCACAGAACGGTCGAACGAAAAGCGCAGAACGGTCTCGTCCTTTTTTTTTCAAAACCGGCGTCAGCCCAGGACGCGACCGCATCCGTTCTTTATAAAGCGTCTTGATCGTTATTAATGGCACCACCGCGATGGACTAATCGTACGCTCCCGTCCACGGTCCATTAACGGCCGCTTCATACACGGCTACACTTCACACGGGTTCCTGTCACCGTTCGCTGATAATGACGTAACGCCGGCCTTTTTCAGAACAAGCTGCGCGTGGGACGAGGGAATCGAACGATGGAAATAGACGTCCCCGGCGATGCTGATGATAACACTCGAGCGGCGTCATTAGGATCCATCAGATGGTATCACGACGAGGCGTGCAGACTGTCGTTAGAATGGTTTCACGGTGTAGTGTCGTATCGAACGCATCCTTCGCCCGTGAGGAACCGCCAATCCCCGCACTTACCCAATTGTCACGGGGCAAATAATGACGTCAGGTGAGTATCGTGACCGAACGCGATCAGGCTCTTCTTACCTGGTATCTTCAAAGGAATTTTGTGACCGCAGTGGTCGCAGCTGTTGGCACTACGTAGGAATGTTTAGAACCGGAGACAGTGCAATCTTTGTCGTGTATTCGATGATCTTGTATTCACCTTTAGAGGATATTTTACTATGAACTATTTAGGGACACACTGCAAGGGAGAATACTCCAGTGACTGTTTAAGTGTGTAGAACTTTTTCTTTTGATTAGTTTTATTAAATTCACTGTTTGATTAGTTTCAAGTCCACAGTGTAAAATAATTTGATTAGGAAATTGTTAATTGTTAGAAGAGAAGCGAGGAAGAGTTGCAATTGACATCTATCCAATCCTCTTAGTTGACTCACAAGGAAGTTGAAATTTATGGTGATCTCGATGTAATTATGGATGACTGTTGAACACTGTGTTAAAGAAACGATTATTGTGGTGATTGTTAGTTGAAAATTCACGGTGTGTCGTTAGGATTGCAAGGAGAAAGCGCGTAATCTCTACAGAAAGTAGAAGGCGCGCTCACTGCTGCGTTGCGGCAGGCCTACTGACAGGGGTGACCGAGCTTTCGGCTCGGCTCGGGACGATTCGTGCAATTTCGCCACCCTCCGGCGGCAGCTTAAAGCATTCTCCGAGCACTTTTCATACTCTCTTTCCCTACCCCCACCACTGCTCACTACAGGCTATTCCCCTTGTTCAACTCACGACGAATAGACAAATGTCAGAAAACGGCGTGAGAACACCGAACATCGTATTTACTATTCATTCGTTATCTGGGAAACGAATGACTCAAATTTGTAGTTGAATAAAAGTTTCCAGGTTGTAAGAACTAGTTTTACGTAAATCGGGTACACGCCTTTCGATAGATGCTCGATGAATTATTTCGACGTGAAAATATAACACGAATAAATTTTTTATGTAAAGCTTCCTTCTCCGGAAGTTTTTATTTTGAAAATTTATCGACTATTGAACAAAATTCGTTCATTGTACTGGTTTATTGCTTGTTGTTAGTAATTCTAATGTTTCTAGAGGCTGACGTTGGTATTATTTCTTCATATTGATCTTTTGATACTTAATTTATTCTGTATATTTGGAAGGTAGACACTCTTGCAATTTTCTTTTTGTAAAAATCAATTTTAACGAAACGGAACGCTATACTTGTACATAGGTAGTATATACATTGTTCCTTTTTTGTAACAATTCCTTTTGTTTTCTAGTATATTATTATTATACATGAATTGGCAATGAAGATAAAGAATACTGTTTAATAGAAAAGTTTTGCAAAACGTTTAAACAAACTTTCCTACACAACAGTCACCCCAAAAAAAAATTATAAAAACTATTTTTTTAAATAGAGGATTGTGTTCGACTACTGTCAATAGAAAATATTATTAAACAATTGTTTTACATTTTCGTGATTTTAATATAACGCACTATGTATAAATTAGGGTTAAATTGTTTCACAATGTTTCCATTTGTTCTGTTATGTTCAATTTAACAATTTATTATCGATTCAATTAATAGAAGATCTGTGCAATCTCTCATAGATTGGAAATGGTTAAGTTATGGGTTTTCCTAACAAGCTGATTTAAGAGGCTGAAACTCTTCTTCGAAATTGAACAGTTAGAGTAATAGTTAAAAGTTTGTAATTACAATTCGATCAAAATCTATTGAAAAGATATTAAACAACTAATTGGTAAAGATGCAATGAAACGAATGGTATCAATTTAACGAGTGAAAATTTGTTGATATAATAATTGCAAAATTCAATCAATATATTCTGTAATCATTTTGTAATCATATTTCAAGTGGTAATCACGATGAGATAAGTAGGTACCAACTTTACGTAATAGTTAGTCGATTTTAAATCAGAATTATATGAAAATACGCAGTTTCAGTCATTTCTGAAAAGTTAGCGCCTTGTTTCAAGTGCCAAAGAATTGTCCAAGCACAGTCAAGATGATTTCTTATATGATAATTAGTTTTTCATCAAGGAAATTGAGATTAACAATTTGTCAAATTCGAATTCTCTTATTTATTTCGAACCAATATGTTCATCAGTTAAGTACTATTTTTATCTTTTGTAATCTAACAATTACATAGGTTTATTTGTTTTCTATAATTACATATTTCTAACTATATTTTTATAATACTATGGCACTTAATAATTAAGAAATTACAATATTGATTATATTATAAGAAAAGACCTCTTGAACTAGCTATTAACTGGATATATACCACGGAATTTTTTATTTTATGATTCATTTTTTATCCACCTTAGCATAATCAGTCGAAAATTGCTGTACATTCAATAACGAAATTAATACTGTGATAATATTAAACGTCCCCCCTCTGTGTAGTCAAACTCATTATTATATCACAAGAATAAATAATGTTAGAATTCTTATAATAATTAACTTTAATTGCTCATTATTCTGAACTCCTCAATTATTTCAACTTTACGTACATTTTAACGTACAATAAATATTGATTACAGTAATCAGCGATGTAATAGTAATACATTGTTTCAGAAATAAATTGTTAGTCTTATGTTCCCTTTTCTACCTGTCTTCATATTGTTTCAAGCGCAATTTCCATTCTTCAATGTGGATAAGTACACGTTCTACTTCTTAACTTCTATTTATAACTTCTGCAACATCATGCCTAGGTGTTTCATGATTAAAGTAAGAAATCAATAACCACACCCTTATTGGAGGCACCTTTTCTTCATAAAAATAAAATACAGAAGAATATAATTTCTCATTTGCTTGCACTAACATGTACTGTTTTTTTATTAGTATCTGCAGTATACATTACCTATTATAGTAGTAGTGCTCAAGGATTCAACAGGACCTCAACATTTAAACTATCTACAGAATATTTTGTATGACAAGAATATATTTTGTTATCATTTGAAATTTATTCCTTTATTGAGAATTTTTCAGAAAATGGTTGATGACAATATGTTTTAGGCATTACATGCAAAAAATAACAGCAATTGTGAAATATAGATCAGCAAATATATAATTTGACTAATATAGCTTTAAATTCATTGAAATTATGTTATTATTAGGATGATCCGTAAATTCATATTATGTACAGTATATTTTAGAAATTTTACAAAAATGCAAATAAAAATACCTTTTATTATTCCACCGAATGTGTCATATATCTACCTCTTACTGTCTTAAATTTATTTTATAATCTTT